ACACAGTACTGTATGTTCCAGTCCATTTTGATCATAATTCATTTTTCCCAAACATGGGATTCTGTTAGGTTATTCTGTATCATTCCCATTATAACTAATGGCACTAATCTCAAGTGAATTTGCATTATGTGTCATGTTAATAAGAATAGGTTAGAAAAAGCTTTTGGTATCTTCATTATTTCTCTCTTTTTATCCAGCTGCTTTTAAAATTGTGAAAAATTGGCTGGGTCCAGAAGCAGCCACTTTGCTGAAGTTGACCAATAAGAATGAAATCCAGGAGTATATAAGTGCTGAATACCTACCACCCTATATGGGTGGAACTGTAAGTATGTCAGTATAATTGATAATGATATATGCATGGTGACTTTGGGCCAGTCCACTCTTTCTCAGCCCTAGGAAGAATGCAGTAGCAAACTATTTCTAGAAACGTTGCCAAGAAAATTGAAGGGACTTGTCTGGGCAGCCATTAGGAGCCAATAATGCCTTGAAGGCACCCCCCCCCAAAAACTTAATTGGAATTATAGATTATCACTTCAGCAATGAGAATATTGTACAGAATTATGGTTGCGTGTCCAACTTACTCCTAGTTTTCTAATCCTGTTTTGCAATTAAACATTTTTAGTTCCATCATTTTATTTAACATTTATTTATTTGTTACATTGATATCACTTTTATTCAGCAGTTTAAGGCAACATTGATAGTACTGTTGCCTCCTGTTTTCCTCAAAATAATATCCTGTGAAGTAGGTTGAGCTGCTAGTAACTGACTAAAAGGCATCAGTAAGCGTCCATGGCTGACCATGGACTTGAACCTAAGTACCATTTCTAATATACTATAAAATATTTCTGTGGTATTATGAAACACACAAATGACAGTCATACATGCCTTTAAACTCAAGTTGTTAAACCAATTATAAAGGTTTTTTGGGTGTGTGTGGATTATTTGATTATTGTAACAGTAGAACCTCAATTCAAAAATAGTTTTATAAACTGAAATAGATATTACAATATGTAATCCTTGGTGCAAAATCTAGCCGTTCTGTGCTGCACTATTTACAATACAACTCTCAAGCCAAAAATTATAGTTCTTTATACATTTAAGAGAACTGATATTTCCATGCCTTTTGTTTCATACCCACACATAATATATTTATTTCTTTTTGTTATAGGATGCTTTCAAGTACAGTTATCCTCCATTAGTTGATGATGATTTCCAAACTCCATTATGTGAAAATGGTCCCATTACCAGTGAAGATGAAGCTGAATGCAAAGAAGTAGACACCAATAACAAAGACAATATAGATACTACTGAAGAACAGGCACTCAATTCAAAAAAGGTATCCATCAACTGAGCTGCATAAGAGAATGACACCCAGCTGTTACATGGCTATCTTCCACATGTTACTTTAATTTGCAGTACTTAATAAAAGTGCCTAAGAAGTAATTGACCAAAAAGACCATCATGTCTTGCTGTCAGAATCTAGAGTCCATGTTTTTAAAAACTGATACAGTACATTCATATATCTGTAAAATTGCTGGCAACCAATTTTAATTACAGTTAACTAGTGTAGAATTTTATCTGAGAAATACATTCTTGTTCAGATGTGGAATTTCACTTCTGTTTCACTGTCTGATACATAACTTGATTCTTTTGCCTGTAATAAGTCACATGAAGTCCTCGCTTAATGACCCATGTGGTCCTTGGATTAAAAGGGCAACCAGGACTGCCAGGATTGCTGTTTCTAAGTGATGTGGTCACGTGAGGTCATGCTTTATTGACTGCATCAGTTAGCGATGAAAATTCCAGTCCCAATTGCCGTTGTAACTCAAGGACTACCTGTATTTCAAAGTGCATGTCCACAGTAAAATGTAGATTAGAACAAAGAAGTATTGATACTGGAGTTATTCCAAGATTCATATTTATAGCCTTAGCCTAGGGATAGGCAGTCTAGTGTCATCAGGATGTTTTAGCTAAAACTCCCCTTATCCCTACAATACTGACTGGAACTTAAGCTGCAATCCTGTCCTCCAAAGCATTCATATTTAAATCACTTTTGTAGAAGTGACATATAATTTCTAGATTTAGAACCCAAAGTGGTATAGATATGTGCCACACATTTTTACGTTTACATCTTTATGCTAATGACTTGACAGTCTTACCCACATCAAGAGTACATGCTGAAGATCTTTGCTACCTATTTGTACCCACTGTATTTCATCTATATTCACTTCATTTTTTACCATGCTACTCATGGGCTACTATGGAGAATTAACTATTCTGCTGCTTCTCTTTTCTGTTTGGCAGACCAGCCTTTCCACCCATCCATTTATATTTTGTGTTCTCTGTTTACAAATACATTCCATCACACTATAGCATGACTGAGTTTCATTTATGACCATAGACACAGATCCAGTGCTTTCTGGCTTTTTTGTCCATGGGCCAAAGTAAATTAACCACTGTAGGCAATTTATTTTAGTACAATATTTTAAATTTTGTTCCATATATATTCATATCTGCTGTTCATTAATAAAATGTAGTATTATGTTGGAAAGCAAAGAATACACTGATTTTGGAAACACTGCGGCAGTGCATGAAATCTGTAACTAGCTTCTCAGAGGCCCATGGAAGATGTACAGGCCATTCTGCCACTCTAGCACCTGCCAACATTTCAAGTTTTTCATGTCCACTAGTTTCATTTAAATGTAGAAATGGCTAGATGTAAGATGTATAGAATTGTGGTCATTCTTTGCTTATATCTTCTCAGCATCAAAATTTACCTGCCATTGCCAGTAATTCAAAGCAAGGATTGTGAGAGCCCAGTAATGTATTGTAGTGTTCTAGGTATCCCATTAAAATAAAGGAAATACATAGCAATGGAGCAGCAGTTTATCTGATATATAAAAAAGAGGTATATTGGACTAAAGCCTGTTTCCAGCTGTAGCCGTGTATAAACGTATTGGAGCACAAGATATAAAAAGTATATAACATCTCCTGCTGTTACGTAGTGTCTTATTTTCAGAAGAATAGTTTGAGTTATAAGATAGGCATTCACCACTAATAGGTATCAATAGCTTTATCCTACATCAATCTTCTTATCTCCTTTCAAAGCTAAATTTGTAGCCACCATCAAAAGTTATGGTAGCAAATCCTATACAACATTTTCTTGTCTTTACCCTTTATTCAGTTCTGTTGGATGACTCTGGATTCTTATATATGTACTAAAAATTTCTTTTGTCTGTTTTCTTTTTTAAAATTAAATAGGATACATTTTGTATCCTTTCCACATAAAATTATGCTAATCTTCTGATCATTTTGGTGAGCCTTTTCTGTATCTTTTCCAGCTTTATAAAACTCTTTCTGAAGTACAGTAAACAAAACTGTGATATCACATGTGTAGCTGTGTCAGATTTGTATAAAACCATTATGATGCAGTCTAAATGATCAGCTTTTTTTTGAAAAGAAAGTGAAGAGTAGCAATTATTCATAAATGCTAATAGTACAATTCTTCCAAAGGACCCCCAGTTTTAATCAGAATATCAATCATCTTTGTTTTGGAGGTTTAGGATATGTAATATATTATTTAAGATACCAGCCACAGCCAGCATTTTTCACGATTGTGAAAGAGATAATTATTATGTTGATGGCAGCGTTTGAAAAATATATTGGTACATAGTGGGATAGACTAGACCAGGGGTTCTCAAAGTATGGCCCGCGGGCCAAATATGGCTCGCCAGGGTCATTTATCCAGCCCCCCCGCCTGATTGGCCGCCGCTGCTGTCTGTCAGAAGCGGAAGTGTCGCGGCTGTGTTGGGAGCTGCAGGCGATGCATGAGGAGGGAGATCGCAGAGCCGGACTATTCTACATGACAGATATGCTGGGTCCGGCGGCTCTCCTCCTCTCCTCAAACTATAGTCCAGCCCCCCAACATTCTGAGGGATTGTGAACTGGCCCCGTTTAAAAAGTTTGAGGACCCATGGGCTAGACTGTAGGGAAGCAAGCATTAATCTTTGATGTCTTTGATACAGATACTTTGATATCCCCTGTCCAAGATCTATATTTATGGGTTATATGGTCCTATTTACATCTGGTGTTCTTATTTTTTGATGTATAATTCAGTAGCTGAAACATAGTTGTACCATTGTGTTCTGTTGTAGAAAATAATTAACACCTGAATATATATAGTTGGTATTTTTGTTTGTCTGATTAGGCGAATTTTGCAGAACAAACTCCAAAATCAGAAGAGTGTGATAAATTAGATTCTAAAGCAAAAAATGCCAAGAAAGCACTTACCACTTTTAAAGGATCTTTACTGCATATCAGGTAAATGACAGTAATAATCACCTTTACGTTGTAGACCTTTACATATTTTAACAGCACTGATAAATATATTTTGGACAGGACAGCGTCTGAAGGCTAGATTGTAAACCACTCTTCCCTTTCCCAGTTTAGACTGAAACAAAATGTAACTGTGCCTCACTTTCTATGGGCTTTTTGTAACCCTTTATAGAAGTTAATGTGAAGAATTCTTTATTCTAATAACAGTATGTATTAAATGTATGAGTTTGTACTTATTGAACAATAATTCATTTTCTAAACAGAAAAGTTTTGAAAGCCATTTCTGATACATTTAAAGTAGATAGATTATAAGTCTTAATGTTGCAAATTCTTTGGTCACATGTAAGGTATTTTTTAAGACCAATAACTTGAGTATGCAAATTACCAGTGTTTCTGCTGTAGACTGGTGGATAGTGTGAAAAACAACTTCATCTAGCTCAAATATTGCAGATTTACATCTGTACATCCTCAATTTAAATTCTTTCCTAATTTTTAAAAATATTTGATAGGACAGGGAAAGACTCTGCAGAGCTGCTGCTATTCTGAATAAGCTAGTGGACTGGTTATATAATTTCATCAGCCTTTCCAAATGTGGCACACCAAGATATAAAATGAAACTGGCTATATTGTTGTGAAGGACAGGACACAAGACTGAAAAAAGCCTTGACAAGATTTTTTTTTTTTTTTACTTGCCAAAATATTATATGGTTGCTTTACCCTTCTTTCACTGAAGTTCTGTTGTATTTCTTCAAATAATGCATGTTTTCAAATGTTGCATTATTTTAACAATGTCTCATATTCTGGAACATAAAGGAAAATTTCTTTTATATATATAATTTTATTAAATTTTTAAAAAAGATAAGAACTAACAGAAACTAATATTTAGAATGAAGAAAAGAAAGAAGAAAGAACAGAAGAAAAAGACAAAGTGCAGGGAAAAAATAAAGAAGTAGCTTCTGATTTTCTTTACAGCAGTTATAAGTATAGATGTAAATTAACCTTTTACTCTGGTTGCAGCATGACTTACCTTTTTCTATAATCTATTTTTTTTCCTAATCATCCAAACCATATATCATAATTTCATTTTTTTCTGTTTCACACAAAAGGTCTGTGAGGGGTTTCCAGTCAGCATTAGATAATGTCTTTTCTCTGATCAAAGCTGTCCATTTGGCCATCTCAGGCAGTTCCATCATCTTCACCATCTGTTCTTCCATTTGGGGAACGTTGAATAAGTCTTTTTTTTTTTAATTTTTACTCCCACAATCCTCTCATCCTGTCTTGTGTCTTCATTCAAAATTTCAAGAACCAAAATAAACACAAGAGAAGACAGTGGGCAGCCCTGTCTTGTTCCTTTTTGTATCTCACATGGTTTTATTAGATATCCATTAACAATAATTTGTGCTTTCTGTGAAGTATAAATCGACTTTACCCATTTTATAAAATTCTCTCCAAAATTCATATCATCCAAAAATCCAACTCAAATTGTCAAGGGCGCTCTCTGCATCTAAAAGTGCAGCTTATTTTTATTATGCTGTTCCAAATATTCTAGAATATCCGGCACAGTTCTAACATTGTCTTTTAACTGTCTTTTAGATAAAAACCTAAAAAATCATGCAAAAATGTTTTCAATCTATCAGCTAAAATTGTTGTGGACAACTTACAATCTTTATTCAGTAATGATATTGATCTATAATTTCTTGTTAAAGTCAGATTTTGTCCCTCTTTAGGTATTAGTGCTATATTAGACTCTTTCCAAGTCTGGCATCTTTCTTCCCTGTAAAATAAAATTCATCATATTTTGAAGAGGTTGTAAAAGTTCATCCTCAAAACATTTATAATAGTCCAATAATCCATCTGGTCCACAGACTTTTCCTGGTTTAATCTTTTTTTTATCACAAATTTCTGTTATTGTTATAGGTCGGATCATAATCTGACTTTGTTTCTATGTAATCCCTGGTAGATTTGGTTTTTTCAAGTATTCATCTGTTTTCTCCAAAGGAATATAATGTGCTTTATTCATATTAGAGTAATACTGATGAAACACTTTTTATATTGCCACATTATCCATTAATAGAGTATACAGAAGTTTCAATATCCTTTTGTTTTCTTAATTTATACACTAGCCATTTTCCTGGTTTATTTGCAAATTCAGTTTTTTGCTTTACATAATTCATTTTTATTTCCATTTCTCATACTGTTAACATCAATAGCTGTTGCTGTAAAAGTTTAATTTGGTGAGAAATACTTATCTCACCCAAAATAGCCTGTGCTTTCTCTTGCCTCTTCTTTTTAGTTCAGTATTATGTTGTATAAAATAACCTCTAATAAAAGCTTTACTTGCATCACAAACCATTCTTAAACCTTTATTTAAATTATTTTCAAAAAATTGTTAATTTCTTTTTACAATTCACCATTATTGCTTCTTTCTGTAACGTTTCATTTAATATCCATCTAAAAGAACTAGATTTCCTTTCATAAACCAAACTCACAGGATTATGATCAGAAAAAGTCTCTGTTAAAATTTCTCCTGGAGAGAGCTTAGTAGCCAGGTTCTATCTATTCTTGAGAAGGATCTGTCTCATTCTGAAAAATAGGTGTGCTCTCTAGAATTACCGTTTTTCTGTCTGCATACATCCACTAACCCTAAATTGTCCTTCAAATTAAAAAAAAAAAAAAACTTTTGG